AGGCAGACAGCCAGCCAGCCAGCCAGCCAGCAATCAGATAAAACGGAGATACATTGTTCAACGGTCGATCTACTTCTCACGTTGGCTGACTGCTGACTGCTGACTGCTGGCCTTTGTAATAGTTTAAGCCATTTAAGCCTATTTGCCCACAACAAAAACTATAATTGAGTGAAAATTGGCAGCGTGCGCAAGTCAGGTATGTGTGCGGTTTGCATGGAACTGCATGTTTACATTGCGCTCAACTTTGAAGTACAACTTTGAGCAGCACACAGCAAACAAATTAACTGCTCCCTTAAGGTCTGATTATGCATAACTACTTCGCATAAGTTCGCAATAAAAATGAAACTTAAGGAAATGTGAAGCAAAATCAAAACTCAACAGATGGCTAAGTTTTTAAAAGTTCTGCTAAATTTCTGGGTAATGGAATACATACACAAAATACATACGAAATTACAATTTGAAGTTTATGCGAAGTTATGCAAAGTTATGCGAAGTTATGCGAAGTTATGCGAAGTTATGCAAAGTTATGCAAAGTTATGCGAAGTTATGCAAAGTTATGCGAATCTATGCATACTCAGACCATTAGCCACAATGGCTGCCAACCAACCAACCAGAGCCAGTCCGGCAGCCAGGCAGGCAGCCAGCCAGCCGAACCCTAGCAACTTGCAACAGCTTGCCACAAGCAAAAGTTTGCCAACAACACTCGATTGAGATACTTCATCATGCTGGCGGCGTTTTCCTGCCACTATTTATCTAATTGAATTAACTGAAATTACTCACACAAATGTGGGTGTATGTATGTATATGCATGTATGTTTGTATGTGCGCTAAACTGCATTGGGTTTTTCATCTTTTGCAAGCTTCGTTACAACTTTTGTGTGAAACTTATCCTTTTTTCAAGGCTCGTGGTACACAGTGTGTCAATATGTTTATGTAACTGTGTATTTAAGTATGTCAAAGCGGCATTAACAGCTCTGGCAGCCCGCTTACAAGTTCGCATGCATAAATGGAATTAATAAAGCACAAAGTTTTCGCTCATATGATATTTATATAGTAAATAGTATAACCATGGGCCACCACCCGGCTCGCTCCCCAACTATGCGAAAAATTCGTCATTCATGGCAACTTTGTGGAGCACATTTTTTCCAGCTGTGTACATACGTATCTATTATGCAAGTTGCTACACTTCACTTTTCCGCCACAGAGCATAATCCGCGTCCTTCTGCCACAACCACAACCCGCTTGTTAGCCCCTCTTTTATTAATAACTTAGTAATCTATTTTTGGTAATTTTTTTTTTTTTTTTATTAAGTTTTACGTTCGGTTTTCATGCTTTCACTCACCGAAGCCAACGTGCAAACAAATTTTTAATTAAATTTTCAGTAATTTGTGTGCACATGCGCGCATATACTATATACTATATATGTATACATACAATACATACGTGCGTACATATGTATGTAGTTGCTCTGGCTCACATACACAATAGATAGTAACAACCTGAGCAACATTGGCATACCCGTATGTACATTTGTATGTATGTATGTATGTATGTAAGTTTGCATGCGTGTCATTTTTTAGTGGCTGTGGCATATTGACATACTCGCTGCATGCCACAGCAGGAGCAAGTAGCAGCATCAGAGCAGCATTGTGACACCTTAAACCAGGCATTGTAGCGAAAATTGGCAAACTGAAATTTGGTTTTTGTCAATGGCGATCTCGTTTTTTTTTCGTGTTGCACTTGTTGTACGTGTACGTGTATGTGTATGCGCTGCTTGGTGTAGCGTCACAAAAGCAAACAGAATAAATAGTGTGCAAATTAATTATTTTCACCGATGAGGCGAGGTTAAAGATTGATGATGAATGTAGGAAAGGAATGCAGGACAAAGAGGCACAAGGCAGAGACCCTAACCATGAAGCCGTTATTTTTTGATTTTGAAATCGAAAAGAGTGAAAAATAGTCGTTTTTCGGAGAGACCAGATTCAGTCCCGTATACATCGGACAAATTCCGGTAAAACTGTAAAATAATAAAAATTCTATCAGAGCGAGAGAGTAACAGAGGGAGAGTAAAGTAACCAAAAATAAAATAAATATTTTTCAACAAGCATTATCAAAAAATCTTCGCCCTAAGAGAGTACGCCATTTGCTCTCTCAACAGTGTTCTCTTTTAGCAGTTTTTTGAGTTCGGCATCGATTTTAAGTAAAATATGATAAATAAAACTATAGTAAGTTCGGAATCGAACGGGATCGCAGCTGCCATTATTAGAACGCTTTTTTTCTACCGTAAATTTTTTAAGGCGAAAATAAAAAGAACTTCGCCTGCTACTTCTGTTGAACAGAAAATAACCGATATCCATGAAGGGAAAACTGAACTTTTAAAATGACACAAATAACGCCGAAACACATAGATTATGAATATGTATACTGTTTTTTCAGATCGCGTCATTTTCACGAAGATACTTTCGTTTTTATGAAAAAAAATCCAACTTTAACAAGGAAAAGGTTTAAACATAAAAATTTATTTTTTTTTTTTTTTGTTTTCATTTATATTAAATCCTGTTCTTTTGCTTAAAAATCAAGCAACTAACGATGAAAATCTATGGACAAATAAACACGTTTGGAATGGTCAAATGGAAATGTGCAATAATTTTTGTATGTTACTCATATGCCGTATCGTATCCCTGCAGGGAAAGCTACTAGTTGTGAACTAGAATTCTACCGGTTTGCGTTTCAGCCGAACTAGTTCACGTTCTATCCTTTTTCAATGTTAGCGACTGGTATTTTTAACATTGCGATGTCCTACGAGATGTCAATTGTCAGGCTATGCATCAGCATCTACTAGTATAAATACTAGTAGCATCATACCAGTTGATGAGATAGTCTGCCAATTCATGCCCCGTGAAAAGCATAAGTGTGCCTTTTTGCTCGCGACGCTCCAGCAGTCACAATGGCCGACAGAGAAGAGCACTAGCGTGGTAAGCCTGAGGTCCCAGGTTCAAATCCTGGCACAGGTAAAATTTTTTTATTTTATATTTTTTATTTTATTTTTATTTTTTATAAATTTATTTTTTTGTTTATGCTGTTTATTGTAATTTTTTAATTTAATTAAAAAAATATTTTTTTTTAATTTCTTTGTTTTTATATTTCTTCCTAAATGTTTTTTTTTGAAACGCAATTAGATTTTCAAATTTGTTATTTTGTTATTTATTTATAAATTGAATAAATTATGTTTACTTACATTTATTTAACTTTAAAAATCTTAACCACCTCCAAGCGGCCTCGAACCTGCGATTTCAGAACCAGAACCAGTAGTCTTCACGTGACGCCACAGCCGACATTTGTAAGAAAAGCAATTAATTGCGTTTTATTTTTGGCTTTGGCAATTCAAAGGCAGATGTCGCTAATCGCCTAAGTTCTTCGAAATTGTCGAACTGGTAGGCACATACTAGTTAATGAACTAGTATTTTTTCTAACTGGTTTGGCTTTTCACTGCAGGGATATGGCCGTACGCGGACATGGCGTATGAGTAACCTTTTTCATTTATAGTTTTTTTTTTTCATTCGCAATGCAAACTTAAAATGAAAATTATTTGAAAAAACGGGATACAGATCGGTAATCTACGATCATAAATTAAGTTAACGTGTCTCGCAGTGTTTTTGTGTCAATTTAGTGTCCGTACAGTCTAATTTTTGCTTTTTATTTTATACGCCATGATAATAAAAGAAAATACGCGTGTGTTCCTCTTGTTTTGGGCTTTTCCTTTCCTTTCCTTTTTTGGGTTCCGCTGGAGTTTCTGCTTTGTTTTTCAGGAACTTTTGATATTTGGTGATTTTTCGGTACTTGTCGGGAATTTTAGGGAACTCTTGGAATTTTTCCGAGACTTTTCTGGATTTTTTTTTTTTTGACTTTTCGCGACTGTTCGAAATATTTCCAGGTTTTCTTTATCGGAACCTTTCGGAATTTTTGAAGCATTCTGCCCCAAGTGAATTCAAATCATAACTTTTTAATAAAACTTCTAAAGCAAATATTACGCGAAAATTGCTTATAAAATGTGTACTCGTCACAGCCTCTGGTTGAATGGTAAAGTTTATTTCTAAAGTTAAATTGTAACCTGGCAACACTTCAACCGATAAAAAGATTTAAAATGATAAGTTAATTATAGAAGTTCACCGCCTGCCTTATATTTGTTGGATTAGATAAAATAAAAGTTAGTAAAAGTATTACCAAAATAGGTGGCTGTTTTAACTAATTCTAACCACGAAATCGATCGATAAAGCGAAAATTTGATGCATTCGTATTGCATTTTAGCAAAGCTACCTCTATCCCTCCTCTAATTCCATTACTGACGATGAAAAACGATTGATTTCAGCAACAGATGTTTAGAAATAAGCACACAAATCTACAAGGGTGAGATGTATATTTATAAGTATGTAAATAGGTGAAGCAGATACTACATTTTTTATACAAAAAATACCACCTTCATGCATTATTTGGCTTTCACAAAGAACTCAATTTACAGTAACAATTTTCTATGGTTTTTCCAAGGTAAGCTTTTCTTGCCCACGTTTTTTTGTTGATAACTTTTAACAAAAACTTACTTTACATATTCATGTTGATAATTCGATAACTCCGATTGTTTAAATGTTAAATTGTGCTTAAAGTAAATAGTCTGGATTGATGAGAGTTTAAAAATACTCATCAACAGACATTTACTTCAATCGCAGTTCAGACATAAGACTACAGTAAATAATATCAAATAACTAAAAGTGATTGTGATTAACGAAAGTGTACATCCCCACCGCGCGAAACTAACTAAATACATACAAATGCTCGAATGCGTAAGATGCTTTAGTGTAAAAGTATCCAGTTTTTTTTTTGTCTCAATTTTATTAAACCTACTCTACACTCTCGTTTAATGCCCTTTGCCAATTATTTATCCCCTGAACTAACGTTACTTTCTTTTTTCCCCTCTCTCCCCCTTTTTTCTCTCGTTCGCACAGTTCGCCAAGAGAGTGAGCGCCTTCTCAAGGAGACATTAGAACGGGCGCGCTCTACCAAAAACGCAACGGACGCGGCAGCAGCAGCAGCATCCCAGCAAGCGCATCAACAAATTCCATAACACAGCGGCGATTCGGCGGAGCGTAGTAGAAAATTATTAGACTTCCCGCCACAACTGTTGCGCCACCAACTGCAACTGCCATTGCAGCAACACACACAAGTGCAGCTTGATAAAGAAGACGCTTTACTAAGCGTCGTGAATGGCGCGGTTGTGCGCTTCTTGGCGCGTTACGTTGAAGGTAATGCCCAGGTTGGCAACGCCGCTGAAGCTAATAGGCATAGAAGCGAAAACGTATTAAGTGCAGTAGCATCTTCAGCATCTATTGCAACGTTTGCCGACAAAAATGCGCCTGTGACCTACGACGCTACAGCGACAAAGAAGGCGATAAAAAAACCTGGCGCGGGAAAAGAGGTGAGCCGAGATGTACTTGCAGTAGACGTTACGGAACGCGAAATTTCGTCCGTTGAAGGCTCAGCGGCGGCGTCCCCGGCATCTACGAGTACTATGCACGATGAGCCAAAACAGCTGCCGCCACAGCGACAGACGCTGCAATCCAAATTGTCAATTGCGTTGTTGTCCCAAATTTTGTAGCGTCACACCGCGTTAGCTTTTGTATATCAACACGTAGCAGCTGTTTTGGTGTGGCACGCCGATGCCTTCACTGCTGCATGCGCATCACACAGCCCCAGCTTCCGCGCCATACTTACGGCAAACAACGGCTGGACTACGACACCAACGCAATTTCCACCATCACCACCGTCAACACCTGTTGGTAACCTAACAAAATTTGTGTCAATGCTGTAGAAGGTACACAAACAACAAATCAAAAAAAATGTTACCAAAAACGTGCGCGTCAATTTGGCGCGGATCCATCCAATATGCGGCAAAGAGTCGAATGATTTTGGGTTATAGTGAAAATTTGTGCTGGGGGAAATTCGAAATCGCTGTGCGTCGCCTAGACTTGTTGGCAGCGTTGTTTGAAGCGCATTTAAGTGCATACTTTTTTGAATGTACTATGCAGGTGCATATGTTTGTATGTATGTATGTACCTGTGGTTGTATGGAAGCGAAATTTGTGAAAGCTTGTAGATAAGTGTTTGTGCACTATTGATTTGTGCTATTTTTACAGAAAAATCATGTTTCCACATTTTTAACGCCTATTGAGGCATGAGGCAATAATATTCGAAAGCGAACTGATGGAAATATTACTGAATTTTTAGACATTTTGCGGTGGTTGAGTTTTAGTTGACATATTTCAATGTACATATCGAGTCCTAAGCGCCAAAATAACGTAAGCGACATTTTTTTCAAATTTTTCTTTTTGATGCAGAAATGCATCTAGACGCTCTAGGAATATTTCTGCATGAAAAAGAAAATTTTGAAAAAAATGTCGCTTACGTTATTTTGGCGGTTAGGGCTCGATATATATTTACATGCCTAGAAGTAAATAAAAGCATCTTACTGTTGTTTAATTTTAAAGAGGTGAATTTAATTTGCCATTGGTTCCATTTTTTGAAAAGAACTTAATTTTTTTTTTTATGTATTCGTGCTTCTCTACAAGTATTTATTTCAAATGCCTGGATGAAGGACCACGCACATTTTAGTTAAAAATCTCAATCTGAAAATACACTTTTTTTAAACACTTTTTTTCTTTTATTTCTTTAGTTTTGTTCCATTGTTTTCATTCTTCGTCCTTTTTGAATCTGCATATAAATTTGTCTGTGTTTGTAAAATCTTGTAAATAAAGTTGGAATGCCAAAAACCTCCTTTAACCTCAACCGATTGTTGCCCTCAACCGCCGTCTTATGTCCTGGAATGTGTACCTACCTGGAAGGGAAGATGGATGTTGTTAGAATTGTTATTGTAAATATATCTTAGAAAGGAAATAGTTAAATGTTTAAGAAAATGCAAAAGTTTAAAATTTAACGCGGGCAATGCGCGCACAGATTGTGTGAGCCAAACGAGCAAATTATTTGGAAACAAATTAGCATCCTAAGCGGCAGCCTACCTGCCTGCCGCAAGTTTATGTGTATTTATGTATTGTAAAATTTGTAATTTGTATGAAAGAAAAAAATCGAATTTTTTTAAGTGCTAAAAACCATTAAAAACGAAACAATGACAAAAATACAAAAATATGAAATAAATTAAATAGAATAGAACAGGGATACATACTATGTACGTAAAAATGAAAATAAAAATAAAAATAAAAATAAAAATAAAAATTACATATTACATATTACCTAATACAGAGAACAGAAGCATCTCAAATCGATGAAAGAATTAGTAGAAGGAGTAAGTAATAAATGCGATATTCACTAGGTTAGGTTGTTTAGATAAGTGACGTGAATTAAACAGTTTATGATTAACTACAAATAACTAAAATTAAAAATGATTAGTGAAAATACAAACGCAACAAACGCCTAGCAAACCAGATTAACTTAAGCATGGCCAACATACTTTAAAAATTTGAGTTTTCATTTGCTTACAAACAAAGCATTGCTGTTTTCAAATTTCTCCTTAAAGAGTGGCAGCACACTTCGCATTTGATCTTACTTCATTTTGGTTACTAAACACGATTTGCGAGACCAGAGTAGCCTATTTACAAAAATATTGACTACACTATGATGAGACAATTAGGGTATTCAGACCAAATTTCTTATTCGGTAACTCAGTTATATTTTTAACTACAAATGCTATTCGCTCTTCTTTCTGGTTCTAATGACTTTAGAATCAGCTGATTACGTTGAAGATGTCATATCTGTTCCACGCCAGAGGATCGGTTTTAATTGAACAAAAAAAAAACTTAATTTATTTCGCGGCAGAAAATTGTAGAAAACAAATGACAGCAGGAAATGAGCTGATCTTTTAATGAATGCAGTATCAGATATGCGACATATTCGGAAATTCGCTAAATTAACAAAGATAGAATTTTCGTGGAAATCACCGAATACCGAAATACGTCACTAACGAGTTTAGTCTAAATACACCTTAATACCAGGGTTGTTGCGAATATTATTCCGAAATAAAAGTCCTTTCCGGATTATAGACAAGCCGCTTATCCAAATTAAACAAATCAGGTATCATATGAAAGAGGACTGAAATAGCTTTAAAACAGAAATATCGGAAGACGTCTTTTTCTGTTTTTTTTTTTTAATTTAATACTAAAGAAATCCATATACCTAACACAAGGTTAATTCTATGGTAATTAATTAACATTTATTATTGAAATATTTTTCAATATGTAGCTTTCCTCGTTTAGACATTTCAGTTTTAAAGCTATTTAAGTCCTCTTTCATTTGATACCAATCTTGTTTAATTTGGATGAGCGGTTTGATTATTATCCCAAAAGCACATTTATTTCGGAATAATATTCGCAACAACCCTGCTTAATACGACCAATGGTTTTAAAAATACTAGCAATTTGATTTCAAGCTATGGTAAGCATGGTTGACTTAAAAAATTTTAATACAAATTATAGGAAAAAATCTTATATTTATTCGATATTCGAAGTTTTGCTGTATTTTTTTTTTGTCAGTTGTTTGGGAGCTGCCCATTTAATGGGCCCCATTACACTAAGTTGTTTTTCAGAAAAATATGTTGACCTTAACTACTTAGATGCGGAGCTGGTGGTATGGGAGATATAGCTGTTACAGCACCGATCTTGACGATTTCCTTGTTAGACCTTTTTATGTTTAATTAGTAAATAGCTCCTGAATTTCCACCGTTTTAGCTGTCTAATGGAAACCGTTTTAAAGTAAAGCAGGCAAACGAGCAAACAGACGGACATTGGTAAATCGACTTAGCTTGACGTTCTAACTCTTCTTCTTCCGGTTCATGAAAGGTATAAAAACGAAAGCTATATTTGGAATATGTCATTAATATTTCATATAAAATATTTATTATCTTCTAAGAGCAGCTGACTAGGAAGAACCGAAACTCTGATCATTCCATCAAAAAAAAACCAAAAGATGTAAAGAATCGATCACGGCAGGCCTGTCACATCAAAAATCCAAAATAAGGGCTTCTAATTTTGCTGAACTTAATTCCTAAACTCAATAAAATTTTAGTTCACCATGAGGTATACATACTTATTTGTATATATGTTAGTAATCAAAAAATAGAAATATGTATTAAAAATATTAAAAATTCAAAATATGAATTTAAATTTATTTTTTATATAGGTATGTAAATATGTAAGTGTATTAATGGCCAAATATTAAAAATTAGTTACCGAAAGCGAAAAAATGTGTGGCAAGAAAATATTAGTTTTTATTCTTAACTCCCGCAGATTTGTATTTTGTTTTTTTTTTACATTTTGCAACTTAAATAAAAATGTATTAGCGACAAACGACAACTAAATGGTTTGTATTTAGGTTTTGGTTTATTTCATTACTCCTAAGGCATTTACACTGGCGGTTTCAAATTAAAAGGAAAAAAATATTGGAATTTAGCAGCAAATTATTGCTCTGCTTATTTTTGTAGCCTTCGTATGCTTGTAAGTGCATATATGTATATACTCCCATACATACTTATATGTACATACATATTTTCAAAAGACAGATGAGGCGATAATACACAATTATAGAATTTTATAAACTAGTAGGCTTAGCAAAAGAGTTTAATAAGAAATAACAATAAAAAAAAAAAAAACGAATAACATAAAACCCGCAGCAAATAGTACAAGGCAGTGCTTAGGGTGTCGAATGATGGGTCTGTGACTTATGTACATATGTATGAATCAGAGCTGGACACTTAGGATTACGATTACATTTTGATTACTTAAGATTGTGATTACTGCAATGGTATTGGCTTGGTTGCCACTACTTTAATTGTAATGCTTAAAGTTTAACGATTACTACTAAAGAATAATCATAGCCATTAAATGTTTAAGGTAGCAATTATTATACTCGTAATGGTAATATTTATGATTACAATTGAAGTAATAGTAATAGTATATACTTTAAAGATTACAATTACAGCAATCGTAATTGTAATGTAATCTTAATCATAATTGCCCAGATCTGGTATGAATGTAGTATACATAAGATTTGGCATACGATTAGGATTTCCATTTCTAATTTTCATTATTTTATTTGTAATAATTTCTAATAAAAATCTTGGGCAAAAATAGAAAATTCATCCACAGGGCCGATGGCGTTTTAGGTGAAGTAGGGTGGGACATTCCAAAATGTCAATCGTTATATTTGAGTTCCGCTTGCTTTATGAAACATTTTTTAAGCGAAAGCAACAACAAAGTTAAGCAAGCAGCAATGGACGATGGCGAGTTTGGTTGTACCACATTGAAATCGTTCGTTTCACCACTCGCCAAGTGTTGGCCAATCGATTGGCGGCGAATAGCAAATTGAAGCCTGTGAAATCAGCAGCGCGGAACTTCTGTCATTCTGTCGATGTGGAATGTTTTATAACCCTAAGACCCCTTTCAGACACGTCAAGTCTTGATTTCAAGTCTGCTCGTTCGTAGGCGAAGGAGGTGAGACGAATGTACTTTTCTCCTCTCTTCTCACCTCCTTCGCCTACGAACCGAGCAGACTTGAAAGCAAGACTTGACGTGTCTGAAAGGGGTCTTACTTGATGGCTAGCGCATTATTAAACCTTTAATTAGGAAATAAATTACTCGTCCATAGAACTTTTCGCACACACTCGTCATTTCCGGTGCAAATGAGTTTATCGTCGCCGTTGCGATAGACCTGCAACTGCAAGTGGTTGCCAGACTGGAAAGCCTGTTGATTGTATACCAAAAAAGTTTACTCATTTCATTTGCTATTTTTTTTTTAGCATGGAGTTAGTAAAATTTCGATTTGATAAAGAACTACTAGATAGGCGCCGCTTTTGAAACCAATGCGTTTATTACAATCCAAGCACGATATTTGTAAAACAAATAAGCAAAGTCGGACCCTTGAATTTGAATGAGATTGTGCCTGCCACTAATTAAAACATATATATATATGTATATATTTAAAGAGAACGATATGAAGGATCAAATAAAAAATACTTGATTAAAAATTTGTAACTCTTAAAATACGGCGTGAACACAGGTAAATAAATGTTGTTAAAAAAAAGAATAATAATAATAATAAAAAGTTAATTTAGCTATAAGAATTACCCAATGAACGATTTAAATAGAGTTATTGATTGCATTAATCATAAATAATAATAGAGCTTAAGAGAAAAAATTGTTAGTCACTATAAAAAGCAAAGAGGTAATGAAATAATACTTAACTGATTTTATTAAGTGTTGAATTGAAAGCTTTAAATAATTGAAATTAAATACAAATCCCCAAAAAAAAAAAACAATTCCAATCACAAATAATTTGGAACCAAATATT